TTTACTCGGGTGGTCATAATTATCTCAGCCAATATTTAAATATTTAACATAACATACTGTATTTCAATTGCTTTTCGACATCATTATTATTATTATTTTTGATGCTCTTTCGGAAAATTGAAGTTTAAATTGAGAAATTTAAAAAATTGATTTTTATGATGTCACAACTTCGGTATACTTTTAATTCTGACATAATTTATTTGTCAACGGTCGTGAACCTCGACAGAAAGAAATACAGAAAGACATGCTACAGAATAATTGGGATCAAACTTGGTCGCATCTCATGAAATTTTGCAGCGATTGTTTCTAACCGCTAATTATTCTTGAAAACCACACTACCCCAGATTTAACAAAACAATGATTTGAGAACCTCATATTTAATCATTTAGATGTCTTGGATTTTGTCAAAATCTTAATTCCCGGACAGCAGTAATCCAGATTTAAATTGTTTAGTTTTTAGGTTCTGGGTTTCTCTTTTACTTTTCTCCAAGGCTTATGTGAAAGATATCGGTAGCCAACATCATTTACAAATGTATCGTTACCCTTTTAGTGATGGTTCTGCCCAATCTTTAAATAGTTCATGAATTGCAAAATCATTAATTTATAAATTACACATGAATTGTATATGCATGACAAAAGCTGCACATTATAAAACATGCCTACAGAAGATGAAAGAAAAATGTAGTTTCATGACAGATTTTCGCTTCTATCCCCGTTTTATGTGACAAAGAATGTAAGGTGAGTACGTGTACATACTACTACATGGGTAAGGAAATATTAATTAGATCAACAGTCTCTCTATTTCATTAGAGTAAGTAATTGATATTGTTTGGTGAATGATATGCCTTGCCTATACCCGGGGCGCTGCATGGACACGTATCTACTCAAACCATATATAATTATACGGTTTGACTTGCACTATCACTTTCATTCACTTGACCGAAATAGAATGAAGTGAATTCCATGACCATATCTCATAACTTTTATTTTAACCCACTTACATGTTTCATTTGTATTGATACCAAGGTTGTACGCTGTTACAGTATAGCAAGCAAGCATTATTGTACTATCCATAATTTGGCTATGGAAAATTCACTCGATATACATTAGTTCGCATAATTATAAGAGGCGCTTTTTGGTCAAATGTTTCACCAACTTATATATACCTCTGAGATATAAATCAACTTTTAAATAATTTTCATCATTATTTTCTTTTATCCTTATTATTTTTTCGTATTGTTATCATAGATCCAGTTGAAACTTGAAATATGGATATACCATAATGGGAGGAGCATTTATAAGATATGAAATCGTGAAAACGCATTCTTCATACATGAGGATATGTATCACCTAATTCGTCAAAGTGACGAATTCAAGTCCATTTGTTGTTATTATTATTGCTATTATTGCAATTACTATTATTCAATAATTAATATCATCATCCTTATTATTGCTATTTGAATTAAGTGTCCAATAATAATTCCTTTAATTGGAAAGTATTTATCTACCACTTCAAAGATGTTCTTAAGTCATAGTACTGACTTAGGAGAATATCTTTCTGTAAAGATTGGAAATTTTGCACCTATGTAATAAAGATTCAAAGTTATTCATTCTGGTGCATAAAATCACATAATTCTAAATGAAGGACATTTTGTTCCAACTAGTATCCAATAAGTTTCTAATTCTAAGCATGTAATTGTAAATTACATTCTTTCGATATTTCTATTGATTTGCAACTGAAATTCAATGCATTAGAGGAACATGGTCGGCGCCTTGGGATGAAACTAGGAATCAAATTTCGTAAAGTTAGAAGGTGTGGGGTATTTGATCAGATCAAGTTCGCGGTTCTTTTCAGTCTCGGGGAATTTCGATTAAGTGAGAATCAAATACCTAAATGTTATTTGTAGGAGCATATCCAAACAATTTCATGTAGAAAGTACATGATATGAAAATCACAACGGGTGAACGGGCATTTCATTTTAATTAATTTGAATAATTTCATTAGTTAAGTTCATTTAATTTTTTTTCATTTGTCTAATGTACGTTTGACCATGGGTTAGACATAGATATATTTGTTTTACTCACACGTTAAGAACATAAATAAAGATTACAAAATACTGGTAGTAATGATATAATACACACACATAATGTGTTGATATTCGTTTGGGTACTGCTTGTTTCGATTCCTAAAACTAACACCAAGGACCTGGTTCTGTTTTTGAACATGAACTTATCTGTGAACTCATTGGATTGGCGGAGCAAAGTCGTCGGTCGATTATTATCTTGTTGTTTCAGTGGAAAGTCAACTCTCACTAAACAAAGTTAACAAAGTACACGATAGCAAAGATCTTCGAAAAATCAACCTAAATCGATTTCAGTAGCCTTTCAATCACCTTTCGAAATGTGCGAACATTACGTCATACGAACATGATTTGATGGGATATAAATATAGGCCTACAAATGGGTACTGAAGTTGCCCTTAAGTCGATTTCTCAAAATTCTGTGCGATCACTGTTTCAGTCTGCCCCCTACTATCGACTCAATTATCTTCATCTTTACATGCTTCTCCCACCTTTCCTTTAATGAATCAAGATGTAACATTTGACATTAACCCTTTTAATTTATCATTATGTGAATAGCATGTTTGTCACGAATTTACCCTCACATTTTCTCATTTATTAATTTCACTGTAAAATGCCTTCATTATAGTTTATACATATTTTATCTCTTTGAAAACGTAATCATTCAGCCTATGCTACTGGTCAGTCTTTCAAACAGACGAGGAAACAAGAGGAAAATAATTCCACATCTATAGAACTTTCGCGTTCAGATAGAATGATATCAATAAATTAGTGGTACCGATTATCAGACTGAAAAAAGGCCTTTTAAATTATGGTCATCTTTTCAACTTCACTTTATTTCGTCCAATCCTTTATTTCTTTTAACAACTGCTCTTAATAGCTTTTTGAGTGTCGTCCGCTTCATCACTTACCTCTATTGCCTATCTGAAACTTATTTCTATGCATTTACAACCAAATAACTTACGAAACGAACTTGCTTGAGGAAATCGGGACAGTCATCATTTTTTTGTAATGGAAAGAGGTCGTATACATTTGTTTCTGTTACAGTAAAGATCGGATTTCGTCTGCCTTCCCCAACTTTCCCGTCCAATAAAATAAGAGGTCATGTCTGCTGACCTCTCCCAGTTGAATTCTGAATGGAGGAACAAGGCTATTCTGTATATAGTAGTATGTGTGTGCAGGCAAGAGAGTAAGGAGGATCTAGTATACTATGACCAGGAAGTCTCAATACATGTGGTGGATGAATTTCATTCCGTCGTAGAGTCCCTGGTAGTGATAGAGTGATGCATATAATATACTCTCGAGCGCATGTTTCTAGCATGTACATATTGTACACACGATCAGACTCTTTCCGCACAACATAATTATATGGTATACAGTACGTTTATAACTTACCAGTATATATATATATATATATGTATATATATATATATATGTATTCAATTTCAAAAAGTGAGCTTCATCCACTATTGGGCAAATGAAGTACATGTATTATCAGTGACCAGGGTTTGGTTGTTTATATTGACTGTTGTTGGTGTAAACATGGTAAATTAAATGACTCTCCTGCCGATGCCAGCCAACATGAGTCAGTGCAATAACAGTATGTAAACTGAACTCTGGTAACGATCGACACCCAAGATCGATAAGAAGATAACGATGACCATAGATTTTACAAATAGGCCTAAATGCATTTCATCAACAACAAAATATATTATAGATCTATGTTTACATTACTTGGGCTTACTTTGTGATTCTTTTAGGTAAACTTTGAGATAAATATTCTTCTGGCAATCTTCAATTAGCTAGCTGTATTATAGATAAAGAGTAGGCCTAGTTCTAAACTACAGTTTCAAAACAGAAGGGAGAACTACCACAAAAACAGACTGAAGCTTGGTAGAAGATTTAGCACGTCCGATATCTCTATGCCAGCGTGTCATGGGAATGGCCGGGGAGAGAGCGAGAGAGTTGATATAGAGTAGAAAAGAGAAGGAGAGACAGAGGAAAAGAGAGTGATAAGCAAATGTTATCGACCCCCTCCAGGAGGAAAAAAGAAGAAGAAAAGATTCAACGTGAAGGAACCGAGAGGTCGAAGAGAAGAGCCGACCTCTTACCCTTTCGCTCCTTCACCCGCACGTGCACCTATGTGCAGCATCCATTCTAGAAGAAGCTCGTATAGCCGATAGTATAGCCTATTAGCTAAGGCATTTACTTTCTCCAGGAAACTTTAGAGGCTAGATCTACATCTTTCTTCTTGATGTAAAATGATGTTGTTAAAAGATATCTGAATAAAATAACTAACCAGGATTTTCTATGAAGTAAATGAACTACAGTATCTCATTCACCGGTCCAGCAGTAGTTTATGAAGCACATCAAGAGAAGCTGGGAATTTGAAACTACTGTTACTTAGGCCTATCTGATTAGGCTATGTACAATTTCAAAGCAAACACCAATGCGTCGCGTTCCTGAATATGGAAATGGCGGACATTCGTGACATTTCTCACAATGAATTATTTATAACTTTACCTGTTTAGTATAATATGAATGCCTAACCAGCTGTCTGGCTTTGTTATTGTTAGACATTATGCATTGTGATCATTGGAGTGATTCCAAAACATGGGACTGAAATTATTTATTTGTTGTCTTTTGGTACGACCAGATCTAATGTTAGACCTAGATATACGCCTACCCGATACCGCCTAGGCCTACAATTTATTCCACTTTAGGTCTAGGCCTAGCCTACAGTTACGTTACCTTGCTTGTGTGACTTGTGTCGAAATTGTTCAATCATTTTTATCAACAAAGAGTGTTGATTCTTTGAAATTGATAATTATATAGCTCACTGTTTTAACAAATGTTTGAAAGATTATTATTTCATCATTGAATTTCATACGCAAATTGAAATTAGTTTTTGATACATACCTCCACCGTTTTTATAGACCAGGTAAGGGAACCTCCAGACGTTGCCCAATCCGACAGCGTAGCCGATACAAGCCATGATAAAGTCCATTTTATTTCCCCATCCAACCCTCTCCTCCACCTCCTCCTCTGGTTGCTCTTCAACTTTCTTCCCTTTCTCCACCATCTCCAGGCCTTTTGCGTCCGCAGATGCCATGTTGGTGGTATACCGGTAGAACTATAACAGAATTGACACGCGGTGCCGTCAAACAAGAGCTCTTGTTATATGTTCGCTTTCTTTCGCTCTGTCTTACTTCAGTAATCAATCTTGAAATGGGTTAAAGCAGTTGGGCTAGGGTATTACAAGAAATGGCAGGTTCAATCAGGGGGATGATATCAACTCCCTGGTTCAATCTATGCTAAGAAATTCTATAGAACGACTATCACAACAGGCACTACTACTACGTCGAGCGCGCGCTTTCCAGTGACTGAAGTATCAAACAATTTTCATTTGGCTCAGCTAGCTAGCTCGACATGGATTCTGGGTTCTTTCCATTAGATATGAGCATGCGCAGTACATCCTGAGATCCCAGATGTGCCCAATCAATGCTCGAAGGCTCTGCATGCACAATGCAGCTCAATCAAAATACGCCATGAAAAAATAATGAACATTTCCGTTGTTTGACTTGGTAAATCATAGTCTAGTAAGTTCCTATTTACCAGAAATATATAGGCCTATTTTAGAAAAACAAATGCACTCGATGGCAAGAGTTGTTCCTAATAGTCTTCTGAAAAGAAAGTGAGAGAGAGAGAGAGAGAGAGAGAGGGGGGGGGGGGGGGCGGGGTAGGGTTAGAGTGGGGCTGTAATAATGATACTCCATTTACTTAAATCTAGAATTGTTAGTCTATGTTCTAGAATGGGTCTCGACGTATCCAGTGAACTTTGTAGAGAAAGGAAAGCAATACTTAACTTATTTCTTGCGATATATTTTATTGGTTTAAGCCTGAAAAGACTTTAGTACTTATTTATCTGAATGTAAAACATAAAGGTCATATTAACACTCTTAAAAATATGAAAAACAAAACGATAGTAATCAAATATAGGTTGGTGGATCTTTCCCAATGTTTTTTAATGCGTCATGTTGGGAAAAAGATAAAAACAACATCATTATTTTCCCAAGAAACTGGAGACAGCACATAATTTTGTTAAATAAGTTTGCATTTTGAAATGCATGTATATCTGAGGAATCATCTTGTTGATTTGCGCAAAAATGACACCGCTTGTTGTGCTTTTCATACGGATTGAATTGTTTATAAATTCACAATGCAGAGGTAAAGTTCTAATCAAATACACGGTGAGGTTCTACAGAAAGCTTGAAACAATAGATGATTGAGTACTGGCTAAAGATAAGACTTTATATCAGGATAAATCAGATGTGCCCGGCCCGATGGAATTATCTATATTTGTTCAAAAGATTTTCAAGGCTGTGGAAAAGATTCATGACATTTCGTTTCCCAAATAATATATTTCAGTAAATGCGTACCCTTAATTAACAAACACTTTGAATTACGTAAATAAATATTAAGGAAACATCATTTCAACTTTCAAACAAAAACCCTGGGCCTTGTTTCATAATAAACGAATAGATAATTCTATCGGGCCGGGCAAATCTGATTTACCAAATTGTTTTATTTGTTTTTTAAAATGGTTCTTCATAACATGATTTTACTAATGACCGGCCTTTGGCATTTACTAATGACCGGTCTTTAGTAAAATTACGTGCTAGGCAAAATAAATGCTAGGTCACACTTACGCTCTCAACCAATCACTTGATTAAGATCCGCTTCATCATCTTATAAAACTTGTTACCAATAACAAGTAACACCAACTGTTATAACCTACTGAAATCGTGGTATTTAATTAGCTAAGAGCAAATTTGTCATAGAAATATAGCATTTGTTATTGATAACACGTTTTATGAAACAGGGCCCTGCTGGGAAAGGCAAATACAATGGCATCAATGCTTTGTATTTTACTAGTATTACATAGAATTGCGTAATAATCTAATCCTTTTTATTTCTAAAAATCTAAAGATCTTGAATTCCATAAAATTCTTTATTTGTGATTGACCATTACTGAAAATAGAGTCCACAAATCGCTTTGTCATTATTTTAGAGTTATTCCACTGCTGTTTCTTTCTTTAATATCAACTTTTAACGTACCAATGTAAATATAAAAATATCACTAGTGCAATTTTTTAACAATGAAAACATCAAATTGATTTCTTCATGAAATTTTAATTTTTGAGCACTTTTTGTGCATAGGGCATTAAATTTGATTAATATATTCAATTAAAAAAGAAATCCAATACGGCTGGCTTATAATAATCCACCCATTTTGTATAGATTTTTTAAATGTTGTATTTCATGTTATACATTGTAAATTGATCCTTTTCATTTTAAATGAAACATCACATAGTATTAACAATGATGGATCATACAATGAAATATAAATGACGTAAAGGATGATGATGGACCAGTTGAATGAATAAAACTAATTATGATATACATGTTCCTATGAATCATGATCATGATGAGTACGATTTGATTATTTGATATTTTTTTAATTATTTAATATTTAATATTTAACATGAATACATAATATGTTCTTAACTTATTTATAATCTTGTTAAACTTCTTTTTGTTTTTAATTTATATATATAAATATGCAAACAGATTATGATGATCATAATAATGTAACTTATTCAATTGTTTATCTTTTGGGTCTACCAATATTAAGTAAAGTGTTTTTAGCTTATTTCCTATTATTGTCGTGTTATGGTTGTGAATCTGTCAGTGTTATATTACTTTTGTTTATATGTCATGATTATGTTGTTTTTTATCGACACGGCCCTGATTGAAACCAGTCTGCGAACTGTTTCGGACTTTTACCGTGTATAAATAAAATAAACTCAACTCAACTCAACTCAACTCAATGCCATTTTAATACAAACCCTATACCATATACATGTAGCTAATCATAATATTATGAATCTGGTTATTGTGTTCGTGTATTGTTTAAATTCCAATCTTGGTTCCTTCCATCGCACTTCCTTTGACCCCAAATATGATACATGCTTGTATGCGCGTATGCGCAACATTCCTTTGATGCAAACTTTCCACCATTGCCATATGTGTTGGGTAATGTGTGAGTGATACACACATCCAGTAATATGTAAAGTGACCATACAGGATTGTGTACGAGCGAGAAGCATCTATTAAGTACTCTCACTTGTTCTTTGGACACCGTCAAATCAACTCGTCATGTATCATTCCTTAGCCTCTCTCTTAAGTACACAAAACTGGTAACTCTTAAAGGCCGGCTGTACTAGTTAGGCCAGGAGGGATTAAACCACACAGCGTAGTCAGTGACAGGTGGCTATCTCATCAACTCGGCTCTCAATTAACATAAGAAAAAGAGGATCATGGGGGACATGCAATGGTCACCGATTAGGCATATTGCTTTCTATAATAGTCTAGAGGGAGCAAGTAGCTACAAGTAGGACAGTGGGGCATTAAAGAGAAATCCTACTTTGATAGCAAACTACTCTAGAGACATTCAGAAAAATCAGAAAAGTAAGCAGGTGGAATTTTGAATGAAATCGGACAAAAAAAATGAAAAAGTTATGAATTTCTGAATGTTGTAATCACCATGGACTCTTCAATGGGCTGAAGTGATGTAGTGACGCACAACACACAAAATGACCAAAATGTCAATTTGTCAAAAATGAATGACTCAGGAGGGTCTCTTCTTATATAGATGACCTATAATAATACGCTATCCATAATATATTTTGAGTAGTGCCCCAAGGAAGAAGGCAGACATTAATGATCATTTTGTACACGGCAAACGGTCGAGTTATTCGCGACTACGTCACAATCCACTGACCAAACTACCAATTTGAAATTAGCATAGACTTTAATAGTGATCTCATATTTCACACATTCGTAACTTTTTTACTATTGGTCCGATTTATATCAATCTTTCGCCCTTCTGTTTCTATTATTTTTCTGCTCTCATTATGAACCTATTACAAGGGTTGGATTGTCCTTTCATTCCAAATGTTTTTGTTTATTATGATAAGCAAGAGAAAGAGAATACATCAAAGTTATAATATTTTATGGGAACTACTTGAACATTAGAACGCAGAGTAAGTTTTTTTTTTTAAATAAAAAATTCAAGAAAATTTATGAGTAAGTTCTTGTGTCTTTTATGTTCCAAAATAAGACATTGACACCCCATAGATTTTGTCCCATTGTGCACGTATTGAATCCACACAATTTGCGGGCGCTTGATAGCTTTATACACCCATCAGTAAAGAGAGAACACGTATATAAATATGATTATCAAATTTGAGGACTTTTGAAGTGTGTTGACGTATGGCAAAGTGGACTTGCGCAAACTAATGATTATTATGTTGGACTAACCTTAATGACTATTAAGATAATAATGGGCAAAGGTTGCATGATAAAGAGAGACCTTCAACACACCCATCTTATATCAATAAAGATACAAATATATTCAGGAGGAAAGTCTATGCTATTGGTTGGTAAAATATATAATTTATGGTTATTCAGCTAAGTTCATCACTAATTTGAGGAGGCGTGATGGCTCAGTGGTAGAGCAATGGTCTCGTAACCGGGAGTTACCGGGTTCGAAACCAAGTCAATAACTCATGCACTTTGGTAAGGCATTAATCCTCATTACCAAGTCCTTCGGAGAGCACTTAAAGCTGTTGGTCCCCTAGTTGCTTAGCTACAAGTATATACACGCTGTCTTAGCAGTCAGGTAAAACAATCACCTAACACCAAATTTACACGGGGAGGGGGGGGGGGGGAGTACTATGTGTGTATTGTAATTACTGTAATTATGACATCCGACCATTGGCGAATCCCGAGACTAATAATAATCCCCTCCCGACCTGGGGATGTGTTTCTCGGCATTTGCCGTATAGACTCACTGCAACTATAACCAGAACCACTTGAAAGCGCATACGAACATTGTAAAATAATAATAATGCAATGCACAAGAACTGAATATCATTATGATCATGAATGATTTCATTAAAACAAAAAACTTGAATCAGCTTGTTTGGTCTAGGCCGTTAAGGGAGGGGGGGGGGGGGGGGGGGTGCAGTGCATCAATTGATTCAATCCTATTCCGGATTTCTAGATGTAGGAAGATTAACATTATAAACAGCATTTATGATATGATTGATAATTAAAGTACATACAAATGTTTTTGTTGTAGTTGTTGTTTTGTTCTTAGACAACAGTTGTTTTCCAGGTCAATGATGCACACAGACCTGACGGGTCTTTGCTATATCCTATTATGTCATACAGCCAGGCGCGCCGGAAGCAGTTTGGGATTGGGGGGGCAAACATTCCAGGGGGCTCACCTTCCGAGGGCAGTGACGTAATGAGAAAAAACGTTCGGAAGGGGGGGGGGGGCAGACGAAAAATCTGCATCACCACCAGTCTTACACGTTACATGCAGGTCCCGCGGAACGTTTTTCAAAGTGAAGTATTAACGATCAGGTAGAGCGTAAATTGGCGTGGGGTCCAGCCTCGGCAGGGTGTCAAGGGGCTGAGCCCCCGGAAGCTCAGGGATTTTAGGTATTTAATTACGGTTAGATGAGCATCCAGGGGCCTCTTTAAGGCCATTGACGTGTTCCAGAGGGGGGGGGGAGCCCCCAGAAGCTCAGAGGTTTTAATATTTGACTACGGTCAGATGAGCAACCAGGGGCCGCCCTAGGGCACTTGGTGGGGTCCAGGGGGCAGGGCCCCCGGAAGCTCAGGGGTTTTAGGTATTGAATAATGGTCAGATGAGCATCCAGGGGCCCGCCTTATAGGGCCCTTGGTGGGGTCCAGGGGGCAGAGCCCCCGGAAGCTCAGGGGTTTTAGGTATTTAATAATGGTCAGATGAGCATCCAGGGGCCCGCCTTATAGGGCCCTTGGTGGGGTCCAGGGGGCAGAGCCCCCGGAAGCTCAGGGGTTTTAGGTATTTAATTACGGTCAAATGAGCATCCAGGGGCCCGCCTTAGAGCCCTTGGTGGGGTCCAGGGGGCAGAGCCCCCGGAAGCTCAGGGGTTTTAGGTATTTAATTACGGTCAGATGAGCATCCAGGGGCCCGCCTTAGGGCCCTTGGTGGGGTCCGGGGGCGGAGCACCCGTAAGCTCTGGGGTTTTAGGCATTTAATTACGGTCAGATGAGCATTTTTTATGCCTTATTTGTGACATTGGCAGGTCACTTATTTTTTCTCTCCGTCTTTCTTTCTTTTTCTCTTTAACATACTTTTTCAAAAAGTGAGGGGGGAGGGGCTCGAGCCCAGCCACTTTGCAGACCATGTCATAAAGGCTTCTAAATAAGCGTATTTTTCGCCCGACTGTAATTTGGGAATTTCTTATTTTCCAACAAACGCATAAAAAGGTATGACTTTAAAAAAAATGGAGAAAACATACCGGAAAATCATGTCATAATAGCAACATGTGTAAATCACTGGTATCGTATAGAAAACCCCCCCCCCCCCCATCAGTACGCCAGCGTTCAGGGGCTCATGTCTTCTCACCCCTATAACAAAACCAAAAAAACAGACACGTTTTCCCATTCTCGCACAATATGTCCACGATATGCGCGTATCGCTATTATAAACCGTATAGGTAGCATGCGCAATGTTTATAAAAATTTAATTCCTGTGAACTTTCCTTTCCTTTGAATGGAATGGTATATGTGCTTTAATTCAGGTTTTTATTATTGTTATGTTCTTTTGGGTTAAAAATACAAACCATGTTTATTCCTTTACTGCTTTTTTTTTTTTTTTTTGGAGGGGGGGGGGGGGCGTTTTGGGGGGGCAAAAATGCGTTTTGCCCCCCCACTTTTTTGACTGGGGGGGCAACTGCCCCCCCTGCCCCCCCACTTCCGGCGCCTATGCATACAGCTACCATCATTGTTTAACAAGGATTATAACCTTATCAAATTTTCGATACGATTAATCGCCGTGAAAGACACCACCTTGTACATATCAAATAAGATTAGATAAGCCTATCACATATTGCTATCTTAATCATGCTTCGATTGCTACGCCCAGCATTGTATACAAGGTGGAGTTGTGATTATGTAACCCCCCCCCCCCCCCCCCCCGACTTCATAGCCCATACCAGCAGAATGGTTTTTTGTTTCGATAGGTGAGCCTATATGTCATTTACATGATGTGAGTCAAGAAGTATCACACTAAGGTTTATAACTTCGTGTCTTTTTGTGAACCCTATTTCTTTCTTCTGTATTGCAAGTATCCTCATATATCCTTATATTGGGGGAGAGGAAGGGGGGGGGGGGACTTATAGTTCTTGTATTCACGTTCTAGACGTGCCTACTGGACTTCGTCTATGTGTCTGCCTTTAGAGGGCGTCATACCATATTGAATATGAAGGTGTTTGTCGTTATCTATGTTTTTGTTTTCTAGTCTGACGACATTTGAGTAGTTATCCCCAAAATGACATGAGACACATTTAGTTTTAAGCAAAGTAACATTTTTTTAAAAATCAAAAGCATTTCATATCAAACCATCATTAACATAGTCATAGAAAAGTGCAATATTTTCCCCACAATGTGCCCTTGATAGCCGATCCAAAACCATAATATCACTTCGCTCCTTTATACATGTAGCTTCCCCTCACCACCACCCAATATTCCACGTCCTGCCACCACAACAATAAAGTTGATCTTCTTCTTCATATTTAATTAAGGAAAATCCAACCTTGATAGCGAACCTCTCTAAGAAAGCAGAAAACTTACGAAGCATAATGGTGCAAGTTTAAATTTGTTAAAGTTGCAAACACTACGGGTATGGGCTTTTCAAATCGGCTGAATCAAAAATGTCCTCGTGATGCAGCTTCCCATGTTGTTCCAACACACACAATGACTAAAACAAATTATTTTCAAAAAATGTATGACTCGGGATGTTCTTTTCTTTTTAGGGAGCCTGTGAATATATTCCATTCGTAATACATTTTGAGTAGTGCCCGAAGGGTAAAGGCACTTGAGAGAAAAACAGAAATTATTAATATTTTTGTACACGACGAACAGGAGAGTAATCGTCACTACGTCACAGTCCATGGACAAAATTGCCAATTTGAGATCCGCAAAGCTGTAGTAATCTTAAATTTCAAACTTGTATAACTCTCTTATTATTGGTCCGATTTATTTCAAACTTTCGCTTTTCTGTTTCTCTGATTTTTCTGCTTTCATTCAAATGACTTGTTATAAAGGTTGGATTGCCATTTTAATCAGATGACAATATCCTAATAAAAAAAATATGGTAATTTGCATTTTTGATCAACATCGCCATTAGTGTGGTAACATCATTATTTTTCCATAACGACTTTTATAAAGCATATCCCAATATCCTTATCTTAATCATTACTTTAGTCGTCTTCACCATTATTAACTTCATAATCATCGATTCCGTCACCAAAACGCCGACCTAAATCATAATTATCATCACCATAATTGTCACCACCATTACTCCACTACCACCACCACCACCACCACTACCACCACCATGATCACCATAATCATAATCATAATCATCCTCATCCTCCTCCCCATCATCATTATCACCAACATCCTCGTCGAAATTCTTCATCTACAGGAACATCACCATGAGCAGCATTATTTTCTCAGTTATTGGAGAACATTCATGCACAAAATGATTCACCCGTCTTCACCTATCGTTCATCACCATCATCACATATTTAAATCACTGTCATGATAGTCCATGGTAGTCGCTTATACTTAAAATAAATATCTCACTCATAATGACAATATTCTCTCCTATGATATACTACATTGCTCTAATTAATAGGATAACTTTAATTGCACCAGAAAAAAAAAAAACTCTCGAACACATGCCTATTGTATTTGGCTTTTAATAATGTACATAGACACACTGCCATTAAGTGGAAAGCTGTTAAACGTGATTACCAACAAAATTATACTCTAGCACTCTAAATGGTTGATGTGACAAAAAAGTAATAATTTTACATTTTGATTTGTAACAACCGGCAATCTCTGTATCACGGTGCATAGGTCTACACATGATTTCGCGTGTCGAGAAATTAGATAATGCAAGATTAACAAAAAAAAAAGTAAGAGTATTTGTGCCATTGGTGAAACTTTAGGAATTGATCCTCTAACTGTAGTGTACTTTTAGCATATATATCTTGTCCCAGGAATAGAACGTAAAAGCGATGGTCCTTCCAGTTGTCTTCAAAGTTCAAGGGAGAGAAAAGAATATAGAAGATTAAGATGAATAGATGGTTCGCCCCCCCCCCCCCCCCACTCAGTAATATTTATATTACGCGTATGTATTTTCCCTCCCTTTGAAAGCACCCATTATAGGTGTGTAAGTCAATACGGGCCGGACTTTGTTGCGTAAAAAGAACCCCTTTACCGGATTTTTTTTTTTTTTTTTTTTTTTTGGGGGGGGGGGCGGGTAGATTGGCCACATTCTCTATTCATCGGCGCACGAGGCCGGGGTGCTTAGATTGCTGCAGCACCGAAAATGATGATATAAATTATATCTGGGCAACAATTAGTTATATTTGTATTCTATTTGTTAGTTGAAATATCTTGTAGAACACATAGTCGTGTTTGTTAGAAGAACTTCTCAGTTCACATACTTTTTACTGTGCAAGAAAGAAAATGAAAATCAGTTGCGTTTATTCTAAAAAGGATTAACATCAAACAAAAAAGAAGGGAAAAAAAAGAGACAATACATCGTAAACATTATTTTGAGCGATTAGCTATTTACAAAAATAACCCTAAATTTTGTCGTAAGATTTCTTACAGTTTTTACATAGGATATACATTTATATACAATATAATTTCTTCTATCGCATATTTTCTCATTCTTTTTGAATACGCGCATCTTTCTTTTATACACATGAAAGGTAAATAAATACATCCAGTTCCACATGACGCAAGGAATAAAGACTCTTCATAATTATATACCTCTCACGTATGACTTCTTCACTTACAGGAATGCTTGGTATCCTTTTATTGCATTTAAGTCGTTATATATCTATATACATACGACTCATATTTACATCTCATAAACTACTAATGTTTTCTATATTATTTCCTTTCAGCTGTATGTCAGAAAGTGTTATAGATATCTATAAGTAAATCAATTTCAAACATATAGTCATAAAACACAATCTGTAGTTCTTTTTTTAAATATTTTCACATTAGTATAAGCACGTATATTCAGATGATCAAGACATAAATGCAGCCGGCTAATGTTTGAGGTGTTCACTGCCTCTACTTCAAAATGAAAGTTGTTCATGTTGTTCATATTCCTCATTTGTTCTTATCGTCAAACAAATAACCCATGCCTACATTATTTCTTTTTGAGGTAAAATTAAGCACTTTGTCTAACTCCCGTATTTTTGTTTATGGTGTCACATATTATTGGAAAGCGTTAAGTCGATTTTCAATCAAATTGTTTTTATTAATCATATTAATAACTGCCTAAATCAAGTGAAACAATTGCGAAAGTGAATTATTTTCTTTCTTTTTTCTCAGAAGTAGTGAAAAATGACACGGGCATTTTCTTTTATTGATGCGACGTAACATGGAACCTAAATTCCTTGACTTATTGACTGTAAAAAACACCTTTTAAATCCTTCTATGTGGGGCTTCTATTTCCATAGTAATTTATACTGGTAACTTGTCAACTGAAGTTAAACGTGACGAAACTCGATCTATCAAAAATGCAGTTGATAATACAATAATGATAAAAACACAATTATTGTTGTAACAAAATTGAGGCACATTCGTGATCAAGGCATTTCAAATCGAAATTGTTTTAATGCTAACAATTTTCTCATCATAAGTCGTCAATGCATCCCATATATTATATATTATTTATATCCTCTGAGACAAGACATTATTATGATTTTTCTCATGACATTAAACAATTAGAACAATATGATTTTCTCAAAGCTAACTATAATGTCTAACAAGAAATTTGTATTTACTTGGTACGTACAATATGTATGCAGCCCAATGTTATATTTATACTTAATTCTTAATGACTTGTAAGATAATCATTAAAAACTTTCTGATATATCAAAATATAATTTCTGTATATCCACAGTGGCAGGAAAGGGACCTCCTGAGATGATTCTTTCATGTAGAAACTTTATTCTCTTTATTATTTCGCGATGGCAGTGGTATACATTTTTAATCAATTAGTAGACCCCAAAACAATTTTTGCTTTGGCATGTTTGGTCGAACAGGTTAAAACACAGGTAAAGTTTTGTTTGAAGTAGACCAGTTGGATCGAGTCCATATCCCCACATTCAAAAGAGTTTTTTTTTAAAGTACGAGCAATTATGACACACTGTATGTTTTTTATTTGTAACCCGTGATAAAACATTAACGTGATGTTTTGCATTGCTTTAAATCTTTGGAGTGTTTGCTAACCGGGGCTCCTCCAACTCAAATGGTCTCGGATTTGGAGTGGCGTAGCACATTAAGTGATCACTAACACCGGGAGGTGGGGGGGGGGGGGGGTCGGTCTTTTACTAGCCGGATAAAATATGGACTAACAATGCCGCTTATTAGAGGGATAATTTTTTGTGAAGGTCCTACCATTGTGTTCACCTTCCTAATTGCTTCCCTTCCCCTCTCCCTTTGTGTCCTCCTCCTTTCCCAATTTTCTTAGTTTACATCGCACGATTGAGGGTGCATGTGCCCCTGTGCCCCTGTAGCTATGCCACCGTTGAAAAGAAGGGTTTCAATGTTTGCTAGTGAGCATGTATATAGATGCTGTCTTCAGAACCCGAGCATTCCTCCTTGCACTATAGTCTTTTTTTATCATTTCAAAGCTCCTCCATTTACTCTTCGTCAACGCTGAACGCCTTGTTCTCGAGGCCTCCATTCTTCGTCGTTACGCCGTTCTTCTTCTCGTCTTCAACCACCAGTTCGTTGTAGACTGGTGGTGGTAAAGAGTTGTCATTTAATTCATCCGAGATGACACTTCCTTTACCTTCTACTGATATCGTTGATTCGTCCTCCAATTTCCCTGGTTTTGCTGGCTGAATTCTAGGTGAGGTGATTATATGAAGACGCTGGGGAAAAAGGAAGAAGTAAAAAGAATGCCATTCATTAATCATTATATTTTGTAAAGTTTACCGGTACTGACATCAAAATTGATAACAAAGAATTATATTCATTAATACTAGAGAGTCAGAGTGAAGGTGTGTTACGTAATGTTCTCTTAATTCAAAAGATTATTTATTGTCATGGTAAACTCGACTAATTGCGTTTTCTCTCTTTTAACATTCATTTTTGCTCCTCAGTCCTCCAGGCATCAAATGATTAATATTACATTTAATTATAAGGATATGCTACTTAAAAAGTCGACATTTTTGGTTCCCCTGGGTGACGAAATCAAACCAAATAAACTGTCCCCGCCTTTCGATACCAGCTTTGCCAGCTCTCGTTAATAATTTGTGTGTTAAAGTTTCACGAATCTCCACAAAAGAATTACATTCTTAGAAGAAAAATAGGAATATGTATGTGTTTTCAAGTTGCATATCACTCCTTTTTGTTGAAACAACAAGAATAATGAAAACGAAGAAGAACGAATGAACTTACTTCCATGAATGTTCCAGGTGTTGTAAGGAAGACGTAGATGGCGTAGACCGGAATCCATTGCATGGAGACAATAGCCATCATCCAGCCAAGAATCTCACCCCAGATAGGGTAGTAGTAGTTTTCACCATATTTAGCAGGCTGATAGTCGATAAGACTGAACAAGAAGATACCCTGTGTTGAAGAAAAAGAATTATAAAGAAATTATCAGAATAATGTATGGCAAAAGGAATACCAAAGACGCAGCTAGTGTACGATGACTTTTCTAGAAATGTGATTTTCTCTTTAAAATCCAGATACCATTCGCCAAATTATTTTTAATCACTCATGATGCATGAATATGCATCATATAAGTCGCATCAAATGAAAGAGTAGGGTCTACGCTTTACAAAGTGTCATTTATTAATTATAATTGTGATTAAATTATGATAAAACATCTATAATTCTCGGTTTCGTTTTTTCAGGGACGCACTGTATAGAAAACTGAGAGAATAAAGGACAATAATAAGTTATAAATGAAGGAGCAGAATGAATGTAAGAAGAGAGACTGTTGTTGAATGGAAACACAATCTTACCAAACTGACAGCAGGAGCAAGTCCAGCCCAGCAGAGAGGCCAATACCAGCCTGGCGTGAAGCCCATGTTATCGCTGATTATGTAATAGAATTTTTTGATTCCATAACCATATGAGATGGCGATGCATTCCCAGAAAGCGACCCACAGTAAGCACATACCACTAGCACCGTAAGTGTCCATCAACTGGAAGAAATACATTCCACCCTGCAAAAAGGAAGCATAACAAATCATGAAAATTGTGGAGTTGTAAAAGCTATATCTTACATTGACGAAAGTTTCGAATTTTGTTGTCATTTTGAATTCATGTTTTCAATATGATCTCACAGATAGCGTCATTGCGGCATATTCACAAATGTAAAACAATTAAACGAATTGAATAAATTCGTTGAGTTTCAATGAAAATTAGGTGAATACCAATATGGCCGATGTCCCTATTATCATGTCTTTAATTATGTTACAAACTTTACCCTGTTAACCCCTAATCTTACGCTTGAATCCTAACTCATAAGCTTAGAAACATGGGGCGGATGGGGAGGGCCAGGGCATGGGTGCAGAAGAACATGAAGGGCTAATGAATAAAGTTATTACCATGCTTTCAGGTACATGGGAGAAAGGGAGGGAGGGAGGGATAGAGGAGGGAGTACATAGAATATATAGAGAGAGGTAAGGCATAATCTGCTAATGACAAATAAGTAGGGAGAGTGGGTGGGGCACATAGTGGCAAGGCAACAGCGGGAGGGGCGGAACACATGGAACATAATAGTAAAGGGGGGGGGGACATTGGGATAAAGAGAGACAATGGGTGGATCCCACTTGTGGTCCTGCTTCATATATTCTTACCTCTGTCACACAGAGCAGACCCAGTAGGAAGTCCACAAAGCAAATGATCACGAGGAAGACAGCACGGTTCTGTCGAAGGTTGAACTGGGGGAACTCATCCATCAATGACGTCACCAAACCCTCCAAGATTGCAAACTGTGAACAGACAATGTAAATGATAAGTGTCATCATAAAACATCTTTTCCTAAGGATACAAGAACCAACATACGATATTACTCCGAGTCATAGAGCTAAGAGAGGGCGCTCACATATTCAGGTATACCCTCTGAAATTCCACATAATCATGCCCAAGGATATTGCAGTGTCTAAGATCTCACAAAATGATCAAATTAACACGTCCAGCAAATCGGGCATTATCTTTCACATTTATTAATATCGAGGTCTATAAACATCCACCCTTTCGTTTTTATTAATTCAAGTTTGAATTTGTCTAATTTTTCTTTCTATATATATAGGGTAGTCCCATCGTTAATCAGACACTGTCGATCATGCACTTTAGGAATTTCGTTACAGGGTACAAAGACAGTGCTGTTTTTGGTTTCTTGTTGTTCTCGCACGAAAGAGGGTAATGTTTGCCTGATGAACAATTATGAACAGCCCAAGTACATCAGTATTTCATTATATAAAACTCACTATGGGATTGTGGAAGCAAATTATAAGGACCAATAGCACTGTGATTCTTTTGTTAACTAACCTGACTGTCGAGACCCAGCATAATCAACATAGCAAAGAAGATGACAGACCATGCAGGTCCACCGGGCATGTAGTACACAGCTGTTGGGTAGGCTACGAAAGTGAGTCCAGGTCCTACAGAACATGAAAACAAGTACAATTTCGATTACATATCTAAACAAAATTCCTGCGCTATACAACTGAAATTTCAAAGGCCTATTTCAAGATTTTGTTGAAGTTTTATTCTTTAGAATGAAGTCTTTGCACTTAGGTGTGTTTGTCTACCTTTGATTAAACCTAACAATGCCGAGGAATGAATCCACCCTGGACAATCGCTATGATAATTAAAATTGTCCCCAAAATTTATGTACTCCACACAATGCGGAAACAATGCAGAAATCTCGAATATGAATATAATGATTAACTAGTGAATATTCCCAAACAATTAGGAATTTACACATGGAACTTAATGGATGTATAAGATAATCTATATAATATATGCTAAATAATAATAACAAATATTGACAATTGTCTGAAACTTTCGTCACTCCATGGTTCAGAGAATACCACAATAACCTGAGCCCTTATCGGATCCATCGATTTCTAATTGATTGTTAATAAAGGAGACAGTCACGTACCCTCGTCGACAACGTCTTTGACTGGTACTCCCTGTTGATCGGCCATGAACCCTAGGATGGCGAAGATGACGAAACCAGCGAAGAGACTGGTACCAGCATTCACGACACCTACTATCAACGTATCGCTGGTAATGAAAACGATTGAATTGAGAATATTAAAACTCTAGTAACGGTATACACGGATTTAAGCACGGTGATAAAAAGGACGACATGATTGTAGTCAGCCTAACTCTCATCTTGTTAATGGGATGTTAACATAATCATCATGACAGAAAGAAAAATGAAGCGATTTTTAAGGCAAGTTGCAAATGTTTTCAATTTTCCTAGCTGTTATTGAATTTTTGAAGAAAAAACCTTTCCTTCCTTCGATTCCAACGTAGACAAAACTAACTCTTGCAATGAATTCATTTGAAGCATCTGTAATACTCAGTGACAGTCATAGGAAAGAGTTATAGCAGTGTTGCATTTCTAAGTTGTAATTTACATACATTTGTTTGCATTATGCTGACAATTCATTTTGTTTTTTATGTTACAATTAAATGTTATAGGATAACAGACATCATTCAGATGAAATACTATAATGTAGAAATATTACTTACAACATTGCGTTATTCCTGACTTTGTTGTAACTTCCAAGGGAGATTAGAGAACCGATACCCACACTGTACGAGAAGAAGATCTGTGTAGCTGCATCAATCCAAACCTAAGAAATTAAATAACAATTGAGACAATTCACCAAAATATGTAAGAATAGCATTAACTACCACCATGAGCCCAAGTGAAAGGTTTGGAAGGTTTGAAATAATCTACCACCATACATAATTTTATGAAAAGTCTCATCTTCACTTGTTTTTAGAAGCTTTTGAACATTCTGAATAGTTTGTTGTCGTGTGTCCGTACAGCAGCACTGATAGGATTTTTTTTCCACCACAGCGCAGTACAGTGTATTTATAGAGTAGCTGCATTATATCATTGTACTAATCATAAGTGACTTCTGATGTTGATATTATGAATGGAGAAGTAAGATATTCTCTCCCATATTACTGACCGCATCTGAGAATTTTAGAATATCTGACGATTGTATCAATGTTCGAACCATACTATAATTACTTAGAGCTTTAATCAGAGCACATGACAGTAAATATCATTGTATGCGTATGGCCTTTACAACTGTCTTCAACTGCATGATAACGTGATACTATGGCATATGGCATACCTCAGCTTATTTCTTCAGCCTATTAATTTTATGAGGTACTAGAATAACACAGAGGCGAGATGAACATGACTCTTTTATGACGTCATCCAAATATTCAAACAGCACAGCAGACTTACGGTGGGGCTCTTGAGTCGCTCCCAGTCTGGTGTGACGTAGAACTTGATTCCTTCAGAAGCGCCCGGTAGTGTCAGGCCACGGATTAGTAACGCAAGCAGAATGACGTAGGGAACCAGAGCAGTGAACCATACGATCTGTAGCAGGACAAAAATATGATCATAAATAAACATATCACAGCGTTTTACATGTATGTATGTTCGGTACAAATATCAAGAAGTGCGTTTTCAAGTTGCTTTTGATATAATTTGCTCATGGACACTAATTCCTTTACTATGAAATAAGAAAACACTCTCGTCCGTCAAACTTTTGCGGAAAACCGAATCATATCATGCAGTATTTAATGTTAGTTTCTTGGAGTGAAAATTTTCCGGGTTTTAAATTTTATGTACGCTTACTCTGCCATAATTGCAAGCTATGCCAGAAGAATCCATCAAATGATTACATCAAATTATTATTAGCACAAGCAAAGTTTTCGATCATTACGCTGTCATTACGATATGATTTTAAAAATGGGATAAAAGACGCAACGTGTAATACCGTGATGAAAAGTAATGGAAATTCAATATAGGGCTTTGTTAGTGTTGATCATGAAAAACATGCACGCATGGACATGTACGATCAAGTAGGTACGAACACGATGAATTCAATGAATTTTATCTGTTCTTGAAATTAGTTAAATAATGATGTTCTTAATATTCAGTTATAAGTATAAGAAGTTCCGAAACAATGCTTACCTTTCCAGTTTGTTTGACACCCTTCCATATACAGAAATATACGACGACCCAGGCAAGAGCCAGACATCCTACCAGATCCCATCGCAAACTTCCAACTTCATCAATACCATCAGATATACCAAGAGCGCGCTTCCTATAGAAAATAAATCAAATCAAAACACCGGTTAATAAGAATCAAACTGATTAATGAAACGTTATGAATGCACATGAATGGTGAAATCTTATGTGAAAACAACATGGCAATACCTATGTAGTGGCGTTAAAGCGGAAATGTATTCATAACAATTTAATCAGCTAATATCTAAAATTGTACGTGTCTTGTTCTATGTCATTATATTTTATGTTTCATCTTTGTGGACAAGACATACCAAAATAAAAATTAAGCACGGGAATTTTTTGGCGTGTATCATGACCAAGGGAGAAACAAACAGCGAACAAACAAACAAACAGACAAACAAATTAATAGAAAGATCAATGATGATTTAAAAATGACTGACAATCGAACTTACTCCCAGAACTGTTGAGCGGGGGATTCGCCCTCCGTTAAATTTATGTATATGGAGCTGTTGGTAGTGCAGAAGAACCCTGTGGGTGCGGAACAGTTGGCGTCATCGCCCTGGAGGGCGGGGTCATTGCAATAGAGATTATTCCAGGAGTTGTCACAATCTCCCCAGGGTAGGGTGGTGGTGAAGGAGGAGAAGAGGTAGAAGAATGACCAGGCGCAGATGACGATGTAATAGGTGCACATAATCGCTGCTATCGTTGCCCCGGCGAAACCCACACCTTGAGATTAAAAAAAAAAGAGAGACAAAAGATGGAGACTTGGTTTTAGCACCTCCGAAAAGGCATTTAGAAGAAGAGTATAACAATAACAGCTGACATGAAACGAGGAAGTGACTTTAAACTAACTGATTCCCATGAGATTATCATGAGATATATGAATGCCCAACATCAGTGCCACAGCGTTGGGCCAGTAATTTAGGGCTGGGGGGGGGGGGGGGGGGGGCAATGACATCAATGATGGAGAGGAGCATTAGTCTGCGAATGAATGTGAATCAACAAGAATAAACAAAGACGCTGATTATGGGAAGGGTGCGATTACGGGTGGTATAATTTTTTGTTCTTGTCATGTTCCGTTTCCCTCCCCTTCTTCTTTTCACATACACTTTCCTCTATAATTTGTCGCCATTCGATGAGGGGGGGGGGGGACTTGCCCCGTGTCCATTATTATCTAAGCCTTTAATTCTGTATAGCACTATCCTCATGCAGATGTATTTCACTTTGTGAGAAAGCCCCCTATCAATATTTGGGGATACAGAAGTCGATCCACCCAGGCGCGTACACAGGGGGGGGGGGGGGGGGGGGGGGGGTTAAACACCCCCTTTGGTATTTTTTTGTGTGTAAACCCCCCCTAAATTTCTCTAACCCCCCCCCCCCCCCCCCCGCTTATTCAGCGGTCGGCTGAGTCGTTGCGATTTAAAAAAAAGTGACCTCTTACCCCCCCCCCCCCGCTTATTCAGCGGCTGGCTGAGTCGTTGCGAAATTTTCGGCCCGATTTATAAATGTTAAAACCCCCCCCCCCTTGAAAAAATCCTGCGTACGCGCCTGGATCCACCCCATGTGTACCCCACTCCGCCGCCCTTGTGTCTATACAGTTTCTATAGTAAATGGTCGACTCCCTTACCTTTTAGAATAGGATAGACCTCCCATACCGAGATACCTCCGACCTGCAGCGCCTGACCGATGGAGATCTCGAGAAAGAAGATGGGTACACCACTGATGATGAGAGAGATGAAGTATGGAATCAAGAAAGCACCTGCAGAAAGACACAAAATATTACACTGAATGTTAGCTTTAAGAGTGAACAATAATAGGCGGGCTTCACACAAGTCACATAATCACAAGTATAAGTCGGAGCAATTAACCCTAATCTGTAATCTAAGATGCATTTTATCTTATTAAAAAAAAAGAAATCATTGATTGATAAAAAGATCACTGCTATTAGTTTTGTTACATTCGACAGTAATAATTGTATTCACATTTCAAGTGACATTTTCATCGAAACCAGAAGGCGCCCGCATGGTTTGTGTACATACAGAAATTAGGCGGTATTGTTATGTGTGTGAGTGTGTGTCTGTGTTAGGGGGGGGGGGGGGCGAATAAAAACAACAGAATAATTAAATCTTTAATATGTTACTCAAGCAAGATGTGGCAAAGATTCAAACATCTACATCACAATTTATGATATGCTATTTTAGTAATGTAAACATACATGTTAATAATTGCAGATAAAACATCTTTACATTCAAAGTTCATTTCAAGTTGCTCTTTGAGTTGTTTACCACAGAACAAATAAATGAATGTGGTACTTACGTATCTAAATTTCAAATCAGTTGTTTACTTCCAACTTGTAATTTGGCACTAACATATCAATAAATATTAGATTTTACCCAAACTTATACCACGTAAAGTATTTACATTTAAAATAATACACATAATTATTATCATCATATTTAAGACATCATTGACTGAAATGTTATTATGTCACAACCAGATAATCATTTTATGTGTGTTCATATATACAGGATATGTTAAAATAATATCACTATAAAACATAAAAATATACCCTAGGTAAATGATGTTCCCAAATTGGTCTGTAAACCGAAAGATTTTTTTTTTATTTCTGACGATTTTTTTAAATCCTGTCACGGGAAAGAATAAAGACACGGGCATATTAATATATTTAAAATAAGATAAAAACCTGTGATATAATTATGGTGATACAACTAACCCTCATTTTCTTAAAATCCAATTAAACTTTCGAACAATTTCATCATTTTGTATGGCATTTAACCTTAATCCAATACATCGTTAGTTTTGGGCTCAATATGGGATAACGGAATTGTTTTTTTTAGGGCATTGGTTAGATATTGTGCAGCACAATAAGATTATTCAGTGAGAAAATGGACAGCTGTTTCGATTGCTGTTATGTAAATTACTGAAATGAAGATAGGCATCTTTCTTTCTTATGCAATAATTATAATTCTGTAATCCTTTTAAATAGCTTGAATCAAGACGTTACTATCAATTCTTTCCAATAGTAAGCGATTGAAATAAACTGATCTAAATCGAAACGTTATTTGTTATGCAACGATTAGCAACAATATTGTGTGTATAAGCGCCAGCTACGGCGACTTAGCGTGTAGCTGACAGGCAACCTTTTGCATCCTATTTCGGTGAATAGTAAGCTATCCACTTCAAATATGGATAAAGTGGGCGTGGAGAGAGTCCTGCCCACCAAGAAAGTGAGCTGTCTACGTCATCAGAGAGTGAAACGTAATTGATCTCACTGCATAGCGTTCTTCAGTGATCAGACTTCATCACGTGACACAGCTAGTAGGGGCAGGGGGAGAGAGATTTTGATGTAGAAGCCATCAACGATTGTATAACAGATGCTCTGCCGATATAATGGATCTGCAGTCACTCTCTTACGCTATTCGAATGCCGATGTTCAATATTAGACCCAATACAATATTTAACCCTAACCCTAACCCTAAGCCTAACCTAAAACCCAATTGCAACTCCAATCCCAACCATACATGTTTGACTAAACCTGCTTTACTCCTTCAAGAGGTTAAAAGTAATATCGGGAAAGAACACATTTTGTTGAAGATCGATGATGTTTGATTTGGGGACGTAACATTTTCTTTAAAGTCCCACTGCACTACTTATGGCTACTTGTCCCCGCAAACATTGCCTAATGTTAATTAAGAGCTGATTTGATGAGATAACCACATATCAGGGACCACGCTTGGTGATCTAATCCCTCCTGGCCAAACTAGTACAGACGTGCTTTAAAAAATAGTTCGGAATATCTGATAAAAAAGCAACCATCAAACTTTTCTAGGTCTAGCCCTCGTTTTTTATAAGTTCGAGAAACACCCATGAACTCTGTACCGTACTCGCCACGTAATGATGATTATCTATCAAATGGGTAAATAACCAAACAATATAAGCAAAGAAACAATGGACATGTCACCCGGGACGCTTGGTAATTAATTATTTATATTAAGTAAATACTAATAAAAGAACTAACCTTTGCCCAATGAAATGATAAGATTTTACCCTATTCAATTCATAGGGGATGAGGAGGGGAAGAGGGAGGGCTTTTTTTAGAGATATATAACACGACTGCACTTTCGATACCCTATTTTGTTGCCTATATAAATCGTGTTTGGATTATGTAGTATGTCTGTGTCATGTGGAAATCGGTGTTGAATTTTCCCTCAGTTGATTTATAAAAGTCTTTGTGATCGTGTTATAATACATGTAAATCTACATTATATTCTACCCCAAACTCAATGACACGTTGAATAATGATAATACTAATAATGATAACAAAAATTATTTTTGAAATTGATAGGCCCAATAATATATGATAATATTCAGCATGCTTAAATTTCGCATGAAGAAATAAAAAATAAAAAATAAAAAAAAAGTTGCAGTGGATTTTGCACACGTCGAAACGCGTGATGAACTATTAACCTATAGCTGATAAAAACAAAGTGAAACGATAAAAGCAACACATGTTTTTTGCACTTGGCTTCTTTATCTTATCAGCTCTGTCATATGACTTGCAAAATGAAATATACCATGCAGATAATGATTATTGTCAATATCGCTATCCGTGGGTCTTGTTGCGAAATCAACGGTCAAAGTTAATTCGCTTCTTTTCATATAATATAAAGATTAAAGTATTGTTTGCTCTTAAACAAAGTGTTATACCATGGTCTTGTTTTTATTTCTCGCTAACAATCAACGACCAACTCACACTTCCAATTCGCAGAAAGTTGGATTTATCTATCTCATTTTATAACAGCTTTGTTTTTAGCTAGAAGGGACATACCTAATCCGAACTGAATAGGTTATATCATAAAACACTTAAACTTGATTCACAATATACTGTTGGTATTCACGTTGGTCTTTTCTAAAATCCATGTACCTGGGGCAGTTTCTGATGAAATGACGAGAAGAATTCGTCGGACCGATTTTTCTTCAGAATTTGTTTGTTCGATAATTTTTTTTCTGCCCTTTTTTTATGATCAATTTGTAACAATTATATAATAGGAGAGTTTCTTAACAAAATGATCTCTTTTTAAAATAATAAATCTTTTGTTTGAATTTTCAGAGCTCTTCAAGAGGTTGCCAAAGACAAATCACTCACCGCTCTCCGTATATACTTTCTTGCTGCATTTTAATGCACATACCCTGGTTTGAACCTGATGGAATTTTCCAAGGAAAGAGTCGTGATTCCCGTAGTGACACTCGGATCATCCCTCAGGTACTTATCATAATGGAAATACAAATCCCTGTATAATTAAGCATTGTCATTGGTTTATGTCAGCGCAATCTCTGTGTTTAAAACCACATTTCTTCGAGTTGGTCTTCGAGCGGGATATCGAACGCCTATCCTCGGTGAGGGATCACGATGGATTAGTGTTAAGAATCTCGCGTTTCTTGATAATCGTCCAACGTCAAGTCCAAATTGATCCGCCATATTTGCCTATCTGTCTGAAGTGTTGTAGTTTAATCAGGGAGAGGAGTGTCATCTTCCTGGTTTGATGTAGTAAGCTTGAAGAAATGTTGGTTAGTAAACTGAAACATTTGATATGGTTTATAACCAGGATTGGTTATAATATTGGTTATTAGTTGTTCTACTAGGATGTCCTGAGTACAGTCATGTTCATTATACACATTCTCTTAAACCCTCCCTCAGACCGATTTCCACTTTACACATCATGTTGTAGAACAGAGCCGCCATTTTAAAAATGTGAATGTCCGCCTACAAACTTCCTTATAACATTTCCTATTTGTAGCAAGACTTGAACATTTCGTCAAAAACAATATATTTCTAGATACATGATATACATTCAATGATGTTACGCATCCGACCTAGAAAGTATGTAAACAGCATTGTCTCCTCTCGTTAATTTCTATTCAACAAGTTTATGTTGTTTGTGACTACATCCTTTAAAAAATAAAAATCCAAATGCGAGGATGGCGGAGCCGGAGCTCTAACTGTTACTTTTTTCAAGATACCATAGTGTTCTCTAAATGCCTCTGCAAACTTCTCGAAAGGAACGTATGGATACTACAAAGTGAATTTACTTTAAAAAAAGGAGCTCTTTGAGATTATTGCAATGTGTTTTATCATATTTGCAGCTTGTACAATGGTGGGGGTGATGCAGATAATTCATTTTAAAAAAAGAAAAAAAAACAATCTCTTTACATTCTGTCTATGAACTTGCATGACTTGTTTCAACCTCGAACTATTTGCATGTTTTCGATATAATCTATAGTAGTTCACAAATACTTCATGCTCTTAAGTTATAGTTGCTTCTTTTTCTTCTTCTAGCAAAGGTTCACGTACTGACCATAATTACATATACCTCCCCCAGGTCTTACGCAACGGACCCAACTACTGAAAACTCTTCGTTGATTGTGGAAATCTTCAATTTGGACAAAATCATCTAAACCTTACAAGTTTCCGGGAAATCCGAATCGCTAATTTCTGACACTTTTACGACGCCAGGGATCGAACTTCTCAGAAAGGTTACTTGAAATGTTCCCCTCATCTTGCGTTTATCGGAAATTGGACGTCTGATGTACGTTGCTGTGCCGAGATTTGTAGTTTCCTTGTCTTTAATGAACATCTCCACTCATTTTATGAATCACAGCCAACATCTTTATTACTAGGCAACGCTTGAGGTTGGGCTATATCGGTGACATCATTCAGGAAAATGTTTCAATGTCCCT